GGGGGGGGGGAGAGAGAGCTACTTTCAAAAATTGTCTCTTATATATCATTCAAACGTGGATAATTCTGGACACAAATGGATTTGAAGGCTCAAATTTCGACAGTGAGCTGTGGACACTATTACTGATTAACTTAGCCAAAAAAATCCTGTTTCTGAGACTAAGGTACAATTGGTCAAAACATATGCTGATCCTTTAAGATTAAACTTTTTTCCTGAAAAGCGCCACAATATCTAAGGGATAACAAATACATTTTTTTTTTCTTTAAATCTTACTGAATGATAGATGTTATTGGTTGTGTGGAATACGTAATATAAACGTTTAGCGTTTTAACTGACCTCGTCTAACAAAATCTTAAAAGATTGTTAAAAGGTTTTCTAAAAAGGTACATTCAGTGGCTAATGTTTCTTAGAATACACCCTTTGTTTGCGTCACCAAATCCCAGCGGTAAAGAGGGCAGGAATTTGATTGGCTGGCGATTAGACTGTCTTTGTGTCCATCTGTACTATTCTGGTACAGATGGACCAGAATTCTTGAGTTCTCTTTAAATATACTGTATCAGGGTTAAGACAATCTTATTAAGATAAAATTACAATTTCGTTTCGTTATAATTATTTTTTTATCAGTCTTCACTGTTATCTAACGAGATATATACCAAGGTCACGTACTGACGGCGCTTTTTGCTATTTATAACAAACAATCAAGCCTCACTCTCCCGCCAATCAGAATCACTTTTACAAGCGAGTATCGTATCATATCGCTCTACTTTGGTTTCCGCTATACCACAATTCATAGTCGCTTTTTGACACGGATTCTGCATGACGCACCGTGATTGGTTGAAATGAACATCAACAGAGGCGACCCTGGTACCAAATTGGATGGTTCTTCTTCAAGTTATAGAAATAGGCTACGTTGGCCATCTTTTTTGACAGCTTCATTCAATGGTTGTAAAAACAAGACTTTAGAAATTAAGAATTATATTTCATTATTGATAAAATAATTAAAAAATAATAATATCTCGTTTAAAAATTTAATCTCGGATTAAAAGTCTACAGCTGGTGGGGTGGGAGTTCCTTGTGGTGTCTTTATCCCCGGGGTTTTAACTGAAACATAAAAGAAAATAATTATTAGCGCCGCAATAAAAAGTATGAGTTAATGACAATACATGTACTCCTATCCCTCTTAAATTAAACTTTCGTGTCCCTGTGTTACAAATCATAAAGTCATTTTTCGAGTTAGACCGACACATCTGCCCATATTCTAGCTTCTGATAGTTATTTGAAAAGTGTCGACTGGTGTAGAGACAGAAAAACTAGCCCTGTTTTATGGAGATTTTTCCGCACCTCCAAACTCAAGTATATTCGGAAAGATGGATATTTTTGTGGTTCAGTCAATCCATCATAATCCACTACACCATTTATGTAAAGTTTCTGGTCCCTTCAAAGTTTTTATTAACGAAACTGATCTCTCGTTAGCATTAATTTAAAACTGCGTGCCCCACTAAATATTCAAGGTTATACAGACACGTGATACCATCAAAACGAAAGTTGCAGTGATGCCTTACAATAATTTACAGTCATCGTAAAGGTCATTAATAATAAGTGAGTAAAAACGCATCTTCGGAGGTGTGGAAAATCTCCATAAAACAGTTTTTCTGTCTCGACACCAGCCGATAACTGTCAAAAAATATCTATCAGAGACTGAATTAAGGGAAGATATGTCGGACTTGTAAGCTTGCTTTGGATTTCATATTATCTTATATACCCATGATAATACAAGAAAAAAAAGACTGGTGCATTCGTTAAAAAGTATATAAAAAATAGCTCAGAATGATAAAAGGTTAGAAAGAAAGGCATGTTTATTTCCATTTGATAATCATGACAAAGTGTTATAAATTATCATCAATGCATTATATTGAATGCATGCAAGTCTGAGTTTATTTATGTAAGGAACGAAGGATGACTGATAAATAAAATGAACCTTGATCGCAAAGAAAGAACTATATATTTTAGCAATAAGAGTATATAGCCGTTTAGTACATGCTTAGAAAGAGATAAGAGTTATTAAAATATGTGTGCATGCAAGTGTTATTAAAGGGACCGTATAAAGGTTTTCTAAAACACTTATAGCATCAATTTGCACCATTCCAATTCCAATTAGACATCTGTGGTTCCTGCTATTCAACTAAAACTAAGTGTTTGATGACGTCACCAATTGCAAACGGTCTTATGTGATTAGCATATTTGAGATTAATGGCGTAATCACACTCTTAGTTTTGGCGTATTTGCAGGAACTACATACGTCTGATTGTAAATTTGACTGGTGCAAATTGATGCTATCAGTGTTCCCAGATACACATCAACATTTAGAAAACCATCTCTACAAATATGTGCGCATGCATGTGTTATGAACCAAGGAAATGCATAATAAAACATGCATAACAACCTGTTACAGCGTGCCCTCGTTAGAATATATAATCGCTCTTGGTCGTACTGGACTCTCTATTACTCGGAATGGACTAACAACAGGGCGGAATGGGCTAACTTCCGGTTGAAAGGGACTGACTTCCGGTTGAAAAGGATAGAGAGATAGACGTCTAGGGCTTGTGATTGGTTCAAAAGGGTTGAGAGAATGGCGACGAAGCGTTGTGTCTGGTTGAAATGGACTGACGGAGAGTCGATTGGGGTTCGTCTCCTGTAGAAAAGGACTGACTGATAGTCCCCTTGGGGTTAGTTCTGGGTTAAAAGGGCTGACAGATAATCGACGGGAGTTGTCGGTTAACCTAACAGGGCTGTATTCTCGACGTGTGGATTGGATCGATGGACGATGCATCATGTAGTCGCCTGAAATTACCATAATGGTGAATTAATAAACTTACTGGACAGACGAGATAGTTCATAAAGGGAGAAAACTACAACCGACTTCACCAAGAATATGTCAAAATCGTTGCACATTCATTGCGTTCTGGAGATGTCGTAGGCCAAATGTCGACAATTGTATAAAAGGCATATACAGAAGGCGCAGATATTCTTAGCTCCACCACCTTGAAAAAGGTTTGCTGCATCCAGGCTTTCGTCGTACATATTACAAATTACGAATGTTTATGATGCCATAGTATACACTGATGTGTGCAATCGGAAGGTCAGCCATTATTGTTAAAATACCTTCAGTTATTCAATATCTAGACGAAAACGTTATGGAGCAAAATGAAACCAAAAATCTTTAAGCAGTGGAATAGACAACAATAATTAAGATACCAAAATTATATCATTATAACCCCGTCACACCGGAAAGGTGTCCTTACTGAGAAGCTACGGCGACAAAATTAGCCCAGAGCGTGTTAAGGTCGGTAATCTGTTCTGGAACGCGATGAGAATGCAATGTGATCGAGAAGCTTATCAGAAAAGTTGTAAAATCTCATGAGCGGTTTAAAATCTTAGTACCTGCGTGCCAAGATGCTGCAAAAACGTTAAAAAGAAATATGGTCGCATAACTCGCGGTGTGAGGTCAACTGGTTTAAGATTGACCGCGACCTAAGGTCGCCGTAAGATCGCAAATGGTCACAATCCGGTGTGACGGGGCTATTAATAAACGCATACAAATCATTCACAACAAGCCAATAAATTAATGAATAAGTGAGTAAACTAAATTTTATCTTACCTTTATTATCTCTTTTATCATCAAAAACTTCTTCTTCAGCTGAAAAAAAAAAAATATTCAGAGGTTTTTCAAATATGTTCGAACGCGATATTAAATCGGGAAAGCTTCGAAACCTGCATATACTATAGGATTAAAGATATCGGAGCTATGTTACAATTTTTATAACTGTTCATCGCGAACGTTTTCCAAATGTTTTCGAACGCGATATTAAATCAGGAAAGCAGGCCCGTGTTCAAAGGGGCAAGGAATATATCCGGAGGGCTTTAGGTGTTAATTTGCAATAATGGAATTGGTAGGTTGTAGCTACCGGCCTGAGAAAAACATGCGAATACTATAGGATTAAAGATATCGGAGCCATAGCTCATGTAATGATTATGGGTATATTATTATGAGGATAGTAAGGGAACGAAGTATACAGACCTTCAAACACCCCACTTTCAGCGTCTCCATCCGGTCGTTTCTCCGTTTTAAAATCATTGTTAAGTTGTCTCGGGGTTCTCCCCTTATTAGCTTGTGGAGGCGGAGCTTTCTGTGGAGTAGGATTGGCTTGTTGGGGACGTATCATATTGGTTTTAGCACTGAAAAATATCAAATATATTAGAAATACATAAAAAGATTGCCTCAAATCAGTTTAAATATATTGCCGGAAATTTACAAATGTCATTTAAAGGAAGACTTCCACTTTGAATTTCAAATAAAATTGATACACAAACTTGGTCAATAAGTGTATATATTCATCAGTTAGACTTACCAGGTACCATGACTAAAGAGTAGAATCTCTATATAAGATGATATATCTATTAACCTAAATAATTATTGAAACGCGCTTCTAAAATCGTTTCTAATTTTCTTTGTGCATTTTTGGATTATAGAGAGATTCTGATGTATAGTTATGACACCTGCTAAGTCCACTGATGAACAAAGACTCATTTTTGGCCAAGTTTAAAAATTCCAATTTTGTGGTCATCCTTGGAGGTCGTATACCTTTAAGGATCTATTTAGCAATGGCCATAGATCCAAAACATTCAACAACAAAAAAAGAAACGAATTAAAACTTGTTCATCATTTGCGGCTGGTCATACTGATGCATCATAATGTGGACTTGAAATTGAATGATCGGGTTCGTATTACCTGGGCTTGTCACAGCATATTCTACTGCAGCGAATAACAAAACACAGCGTTCCAATAACCGCTATCAGGCCCAGCAGACCAGCCATTGCTAGCAGGACAATGTTCCAGGGATCGTCAAAGAAGTCAGGCTCTGGGGGTTCAGTTGTGGTCGGAATGGTAGTAGGTTCTGGAGTCGTCACCATTGGTGTCGTAGTGGGAGGTGGTGGTGGTAAGGTGGTCGGAACGTAAGGTGGTGGAGTTGTTGGACAAGCTACACCAATTACAGATAACTGCTTGACCTCGCTGTATCTGACAGGTTCGCCTTTATCTGCCGCCTTGATATTGATGGTGTCAAACTGATTGTGAAATGGGGCCTTCGTCAATAACAATTCACCGTTTGAACTCAGTGACATGGTGTCTGTTGTCACCGCCTCAAACTCCACCTGGCCATTAATCCCAGGATCAGCATCTTTGGCCGTTATGGTAGTGATTAATCCAGTGTTGTCGCAATCTTTAAAATAAAATGTTGTCTGGAAGGCGTCAAGAATTGGCGCGTTGTCGTTAACGTCATTGATGGTAACCGATACATTGGCGGGGCCAGAATTTTGTCCCGCCTTATCTGACACATAAACTTCAATTACTTTCGTCATACTCTCGGCGCCACCTATACTGAAATACCTGTTGGTGTACAGACGACCCGTCTTTTCGTCAATTTCAAACGGCGCCGCTGATTTCGGTTTGTACAGTTTATACGTCACTTCATCGTCAGCATCCGGATCTTTAGGATCATACTCGGGTTGGAAGTCAATCTGAAATAAACAGCAATGGTAGTAGGGGGAAACATCGGCATTGGCATGGAGAGGATGTCCTTGGGTTAGGACTGCATTGCGGACTGAAAGACTGTTTTAGATCGATGGCGCATTACTTAACCAATGTGGATTCTATGAACTCTTGCTGGGAGATGACCTGCGATTCAAAGAAGATCTATTTGAAGATCAAATCAGAATATGTCACATTCAAAATTTGTCACATTCAAAATTTTCCAATCTATTTCCTTCTCCGCCATTTTGAATTCTGTCTGCACCAATTTTTTTTTGGCTCACTTGAAACTCATTCTTAACTCTACTCCAATTCTTAAACGTTCTGTCCTTAAATCCCGTACGTGCAGAACTCACCAATCGAGCGCCCCCTAGTTTTTGGCTAAACTATTATCAATGAAGGGCAATAACTTTGTAACTTACTGATCCTTCTTGAACCGAGTAATCGGCCTTAGATAAACTTAGCTCTGGTTTTTCGTTGACGTTTTGGAATGAAACTTTCACCCAGGCTGGTTTGGACGGACATTTTCCCTTCTGGTAGTAAAGTGTTATATTGAGTGACGGGGTCTTCTCAAAGTCAAATCCTGCTGAGGGGCTGATTATATAGGGATTCTTATAACCTGAAATAAACCGAAATATTCCCAATCATATATGCTCAGTCACAATCTAATTAAAATTAAATTACAATTTCGTTTCGGCATTTTTTTGTTGGTCTCCATTGTAATCTAACGACATTTATACCAAGGTCAAGTACTGGCCAGGTTTCAAGCAATTATAGAAAACAATCACGTGCCACTCTCCAGCCTATCAAAATCACATTTACAGGGAAGTATGGGCTGTCTCATAGACTTATTGGTCACATCACTCTACTTTGGATTTCGATATCCCACTATTCATAGTCGATAATTAGACACGGATTTTGCATGACGCGCTGTGATTGGTTGAATTAAATGTCAACAGTATGTGACCTTGATATAAATCTTTGTAGATTAATCAGATTGCAACGAGGCCGAATACGAACCTAGGTCCTTAAATTTATTCCAGCAATCTAATCAGTGAATGTGGAGTCACCCACAAAACTTAGTTATATTTTCAAATCGACATGGCTGTAAAATTGTAACGACCAAGACCACTGACACGAGACTTTGTCCACAATCCTAGTGACAGTTCCCTGATAACTATAACATCCCATATATAGCTTTGCTTCATATAATTAATGATTAGCTTATGATATATATAGCCTTTATTTATATAGCTTTACTTCATGAAGCTTACTATTTAGCTTATGATTTATATAGCTTTGCTTTATATAGCTTTGCTTTATATAGCTTCGCTTCACGTATCTTACTGATTAGCTTATAATATATATAGCTTTGCTTCATATAGCTTCGCTTTATATAACCTGATAAGTTTATGACTTAGATCGCTTTGCTTCATATAGCTTACTGACAAGCTTCTGATTTATATTGCTTTGCTTCATATAGCTTTTTTTCATATACCTTACTGATAAGCTTATAATTTATATAGCTTGCTTCATTTAGCTAAATGATAAGCTTATGATTTATATAGCTTTACTTCATACAGCTTTGCGTCATATAGCTTTGCTTCATATAGCTTACTGATTAGCTTATAATGTATATAGCTTTGCTAGAAAGGGTCGTTATCTGTGAATATAAGTTCAACCCAACGAGCTGAGAACCGTTCAATGTGAACTCAAAACGTTAATAGTCAACTGCTTCTATCTAGTACTTACTCTGTATAACAAATAAGTTACTTAGTTATATATAGTTGTTTGTTTCTTTCTTTCTTTCATATAACTTACTGATAAGCTTATGATTTCTGTAGCTTCGCTTTATATAGCTTTGCTTTATATAGCTTACTGATTAGCTTATGGTTTATATAGCTTTGCTTCATATAGCTTACTGATTAGCTTATGATTCATATAGCTTTGCTTCATATAGCTTACTGATTAGCTTATGATTTATATGGCTTTGCTTCTTATAGCTTACTGATTAGCTTATGATTTATATGGCTTTGCTTCTTATAGCTTACTGATTAGCTTATGATTTATATAGCTTTGCTTCATATAGCTTACTGATTAGCTTATGATTTATATAGCTTTGCTTCATATAGCTTAATTAGCTAATGACTTAAACAGTTTTATACAGAAAAAAATGACTCACTTGTAGTTCCGCAGCCAGATCTCATGATGGTGTTTTCATACCCTGTCGGGTCGGTACCAATGGTACA